TTTATCTTCATCTTTTAGCTGGTTCCATTTTTGAATCAATGGAGGCATCAGCATCTGAATATATTCCTGCACACAGAGCACACATATACAGTAGTCATACATGTGTTGAGGGCTGTCGCTAGTGGGGAGAAAGGTCTAGGGGTGTCGCAGTACACCAGTATTGACGATAATCGTCATATTTAAAGAATAAAATATCGTTATCGTGTTAATTAGGGGTGTCGCAATATGATGGTATTGGCCATATTTAAAAATGAATAATACACATAGGACAATATGACACATAATAACCCAGCGCCAGCGCCATTAATTAACTCTAACTCTCACATGTAATTTGTTTCATTCATACTCGACGCCGGAGGGCGCCCTCGCACAGAAAGTCCACAAGCAAGATTCATAGGAGTAATAGAACTTATGATGTTCCAGGAAATCCCTGTAGGCATCCAGCTATTGCTGTAGATGAGTAAAATGCAGAAGAAATGTTTTATCTGATTAAACATGAAGACAGTCAACACAGGATTGCAACAGTATGTGTTTGTCTTGTTTTTCAAGCCATCTTATTTTAATATTTAAAATATTAATATTTATAAGGTATTGCTAATCGACATAGCATTTATCACTGTATAGAATACTATTAAACAGGGGTTGGCAACCTTTAAGGCATTAAGTGCCATTTTTCATTTTTCTGGTTAACCACTTTTTGTGGCCACGATAATAGTGTAATGAAAAATCTGATATTTCTACCGACCGCCCGAGTCAGCACGAAAGGTTCTCAGGACAGTTTACGGGCCACTGCTGCACGTCGTCACGAAAGCTTATCACTTGCACGTGTTTTTAAGCCTTGCCAATTTAAACATTTAAGAGATTTTAAAGCATTCAAGCACAAGAAGACACGAAAGAACTCAACTGAGTACTTCCGTGCTGTGTTCAGTGTGCACACAGAGAGCTGCAAACACCGAATTGAGTTCTCTTTCGCATCTTCTTGAGCATGAACGAACAAATACACCTAGCCATTTTTAACATTCGAGCACAAAACGATGCAAAAGAGCTTAATTCAGCACCCGCGAGCCATGTTCTGTGCGCACAGCGCACACACAAAGAGCCATGTCTCACAGCACGTGAACTCTGAATTGAGTATTGTGTTTTCTTGTGCTTGAATGGGCAAATACATGCAAAATTATGTTGAAATACCCATCTTGGCGAGTATCCTCGAAAAACACATGGTTATGTCTAAAGTGAACGTAAACAGTTGAGAAACTAATCGGACGTGTACCTTTATATTGGATGCATGCATTGTATCTTAAAGTGATCGCACCTAATTTATTAGCTGCTGTCAGTGTCCTTATGTTAATACAAGAAAAAACAGAGAGAAAAATCACTCACTGCTCTTGACTGAATTACTTCTGTAGTTTTAACAAGAATTAATCTACATGTAATTTATACAGTGAAGACTATGCAATGCTATTTTACATTTGATTATTTGGTTTCTGTACCTGAACTTTATTTATTTGTGCTATTTTCAAACAGGGCCCGCGGATACAACCTGTACCGGGGCCCCGCAAACCCCAGCTATGGCCCTGCATGTGTTTATTAGACATGTACAGTCTGTTACTAAAAAAAATAAACAAAAAACAAAAAAAAACAAAAAAATCCAACATGGCAGACAAAGAGAAATGTAGGATTTAGAATTAGAATTATGTTATTCTATTTATTTTGCAAATACTTTAAACAATTACAAATAGGTAATTGTAATTAAAATTAAATACTTGACCAAATATTTGTGTGTGTGAGAGAGAGAGCTATTTTTTATCTTTACGGTAAACACTGTGAGATTCCATGAGGTTCAATATCATTTAGAATGCTGCTGCAAAAGCACTAGGCAACATGGCAATTGTGTTTGCATGTAACATTCTATCTCTACTCTATGGAATATGTGCCTGATACCCAAAGTATTTCTGTGTATTTGATTGTGCAATTACTGGTTTGTTGAGATGGTGGCCCACAGACTCAGCCAATGTCCCAATGGCGTCATAGAGGATGAGAAGGTTCTTGTGCTGGTATTTACTGAAAGCAAAGACCAACGTGTCCAAAATAAAAGCAAGGTACGGCACCAGCTCAGTGCAAGCCTCCTCTTCAAGGGTAGCAAAGGCACTGTTGGAGGAAAATTGAGAGTCAGAGATTAAAAGAGTTGAAGGAAAGCTAAAAAGACACCTCAGGTAACAAGATGGTCCTTAAACAAGATGAAATGCATGCTTCAAGCAACACAATACTGCGATGCATGCTCACCTGCAGGCAGCCTCTTGGACACGCTTGTTGCTGTCAAGTATCCGTTTGAGTAGTTCAGTCATGAGCGGTTTGAGGTAGATGTCGGAGGGCTGGCTAACAACCCAGTGTGCGTAGCGGCTCAGAGTCCAGCAAGTGATGGATCGAACCAGTGCCTTCTTATCAGACAGACACTGTACCAGATGAGGAATCAACTCTGGCAAGTAAGGGATCATCCCCTGCATACAGCCTAAAGCAAATAAAGAAAATACTTGTCTTCAAAAATAATAATTTTTAAAAAAGCGAGAGAGATTAAGGTCACACCTTATTCATTCATTTAATAATTAGCCAAAACTTGGTGTCTCGTTATTTTTTGAAACTGCTTTGAAAATTACAGGTTTTTTAATTAGTATAGTAATTAACTATAGAATACAGTAACATGTGTAACACAAACACTGTAAACTAAAGTGTTAACCGGTTCCTTTAAGATATAGTTGTATTTTGAAGGAAATTTATTCTTTTATTCAGCAAAGATGCGCTAATGAATTAAACATGACAGTAAAGGCATTTATAATGTTGTTACCAAAGATTTTGATTTCAAATAAATACTGTTCTTATGAACTTTTCAAAGAATATTCAAAGAATCCTGATCTTCTTTTTTTCATCACGGTTTTCACAAATAGATTAATCAGCACAACTGTTTTATACTTTTCTATCAGAGAAATAAATTACATTTTAAAATATATTCAAATAGAAAACATTTATTTTCAATTGAAATAATTTTAAAATATTACTGTATCTATGTATTTATGATCAAAAGTAAATCCAGCCTTGGTAAACGTAAGACACTAAGAAGAAAACTCTTACCAACTGCAAACTTCTGAACATAGTGTAGGTATGTCCATGTTTCCCTTTTTAAATTCTAATGCTTATGCAATGAGTGAATTATAGAATGAATAGGAAATTTTGGAATACCTTCAGCAATGGCTCCCAGTACAAGTATGCCCGACTCTTTAATAAGCCACTCTGGATGGAACAGTAGTTCTTTCAGTAAAGGAAGAATATGCAACAGCAAATCATCTCTGAAAACATTCGCCAGGACATCTAGTGCAGCTGCAGAACATTTCCCTACACACACCAGAAAAAATAATGCAGACAAAAGCAATGTCTCAATGTACATCCATTTTAAGAAGACCAGGACTTGGCTGAGTCTGTGTCCTTTTTAAAGTGCACCGTTTCTTACTCAAGTTCCAATCTGAGATGGTTTCATCATCATCCAGATCAGCTTCATCGTCGTCCTCTTCCTCAATGGAGTCTCCCCCCTCGTGTTGTTGGGCCACAGTGCGTGAGCGATGGAACCTTGGGCGAATGTCCTGCTCGTTGTCTGGGATTGCTTCGTCCTCCTCAACGTCACCCTGGAAATCAATTTTTCATAATCTTTATTTATTACAATTTTTTTTTTTTTGGACAAGCTTACAATCTGCCATCTTTTTAAAAGCACTAATATGTAATTACATGCTTTTAAAATAAATATAAGATACCAATGTATTCTTGATAAAATGCTTTCTGTATTTATTTAGCTAAATATGTACTTTATAACTCAGTTTCTAAAAGACAGGCTAAGATGTGGAAAATAAAATGCTATTAATTTGTATATGACAAATGTAAACAAATCACATGTAAACAAATTGGCAATGTGGTTTTTTTTTTCAAATGCGGCTGAGCATCGTAACCAAATCACATGTTTGCTGTGTGTATGAACTCAATGGCAAATCACAGGTGTTTTACTCTTTTATGTTTTATGTTTAGGACGGCATATGAAAAAGTGTCGATCAGTTGATACTCAAAAAAGAAGCTTTAGAACCAGAGAGAGAAACTGACCTTCAACAGGATTATGTCAATCTCAGAGTATTTCATTCCATTCACAAGAACTGGTATCAATCTGTGACAAAAAAGAAAAAACTCTGATGACTGATCCTGATAATTTACATCAAATAAGCAGCTTTGCCCTGTTGCAGAACTGTATTATAATTGAATGCATCCACATGAGTTGATGGTTTTTTTTTTTTTATCAAAAGGACTCTGTGTGTTTGTGCATGCTCACTTGGGCAGGTGTCCACACAGAACCTCCTTACACACAGGCTGCTCAGCGAGTGTGAGCCAGAATTCACAGGCCTCCAGAGTGACATTTTCATCCTGATCTTGTGTCCTCTGCAACATGTACTGAAAAACAGAAAAAGGGTTTGTGAGTATAAACCAAGCGGCAACTTCCAGCTCTCTCTCGTGAAGCCAACAAGGAAGTGACTTAAACTGTAATTCATCAACTGGCCGCTAGAGGCTGGCTGCAAAAGGGAGTCAGTCCCATAGACTCCCCATGTTAAAATGCCTAACTTTACAGCAGAAAAAAACATGTTTACAGCCTGGTTCAAAAAATTATTTTGGTCTATATAGCTAATTTTGCCCTTCATGACAACTGTGAGGGGGATGAATTTTTTTTATTACTCATCCGTTTAAATTATATTAAGCTTTAAAGTTCTGCATAATTATGGGCGTGGCCACTTGAGTGACAGGTGGATTGCCGCTGCTGTCACCACCGTCGAGCTAGGTGGGCGTGGTTTCAGCAGCCAGCTCCCGCCTCTTTGCCCATTTTCGATTATCCGGGAGTGACGCGCGGTGATGTGCTGCCAAGATGGCGACGGCTGGCTCCGCCTACTTTAGGCTTCAAAATGCTCGTTGGAAGTCTACGGGTTACGTCACGGACACTACGTCCATGTTTTTATACAGTCTATGGTATAAACACATTGGGCCTTATTCATGAAACATGAACAGAGCATATTTGTGTGTAAACTGTTCAAAAAGTAATTTTTACCAACAAAAAAAAAATCCACAGAATGTACCATAACACTTTTATGTACGAACTACACAGAAATTAATTTTTAATTTGGTGTTTCATGAATAAGACTCATTGATTCTACTTTTACCAAACTAGTTAAAGAAAGTCCACAAGAGGCTGCTGTTCCTTCACTTTGCCTCGGTGTGATTTTCTGACCAAATTTATTAAAAAATGTAAATAAAAAAACATTTAGTTATACAAGACAGTAGATAATTCAAGGTCAAGGTCACTTTCAGCAATCATGTAATAGAGTTTAGTTATATTAGGTTTTAATGAGGGGTTGAAGAAGGTGTGATCTAACCTCGATGATGTTGTGCATGTGAGGAAGGAGACGGTCTAATCTGACTTCCAAAAGCATGACTAAAGCTCTGCACACATTCTTCCTCACTTCGGGCTCCTCGTCACCTGCCAGTGCAAACAGGTTCTGTGCCACAAAGACACACACATACATATAAAAATATGTTAATTTCTTAGAACTAAACAATGACAACTTCCTCAAAACTGGCATCACAATTCTGGGATCTGGAATAATAGGGTAAGTAAATCATAACAGAATTATAATTTTTGGGTGAACTTGTCCTATTAAGGTGGCTCATTTTGTAGGTGGTACCTCAATGAAAGGATCTATGTGCAGCATCAGGGCCTGTGTTCTGCTGATGATAAACTGGTTGACACAGGCAATGGCATGAGACCTACAACAGACAACAAGCACAGTACATATATCAAACAAGCCTGAACAACTGCACAGCAAGTAGTAGTTTAAATTAGTGTGACTGGTATTGACGATAACAATATTAAAAAAATTAAATATCGGCATAATGTTACTACACATACAATAATATTGTAAATAGTCTAGCACTAGTAACTGGATGGATGGATCTGATTGGCAGGCAAACACAGTTTGGGGGGGGAGGGGGGCACACAGTGAAAATTATATGAATATTACAGTGGGCAAATGCATACAGCGCAGCATAATTTGAAATCACGAATTTAATGTTTAAACTAAAGCATTAGCACGGACTGAAAGTCACGCAGAGAACACGCGATCACGCAGGTCACATATACACTTCACAAGATCTCACAACTGGATTCGACTAAGTTTGCAAGGTTTGTGAAATTAAAATTTCATAGGCCATTCAAAGATTTGTTTAAATGACGTAAATGCGTATTTGCTGAATGCTGACGGCAAACGATAAAGTATTATAATGTTTGCCTTTCTATTACTAATAATATAAAAGCAATCGTTATAATACTTTTTGTATACATTTTAATTCCTTTGTTTAACAGTTCTATCGGATTATTAGACAGACTTCTATCCATATTAGACAGAACTGTTAACGACGACGGCGATCAAGAGGGAGAATGTGAGCAATGTGAGCACGCCTCGAACGCATAGGCCAAACAGAAAAACTTATCGGCCAATGCCGATATTTGAAAAATGCCAAATATCGGCCGATATATCGGCCTTGGCGATATATCGGTCGACCACTACTCCTCGCAGTTTCAAACATTTGTGCTCCATTAGGGAACACAGGCTTATCTTACCTGATTTTGGGGCTATTGTGCTTGAAGAACTGCAGGAACTTGGGGATCATCACGTTGAGTGGGCGGTCCAGCATGTCACTGTCCAGGATCTCAGCAGAGTCCTCACAGATCTTTTGCAGGGCTCCAAAAGCCCCCTGAAAAGACAAACACAGCAGGAATGTAACACAGACAAATCATACATATTTCCCCTTCTCACTGAACAACCTCAAATCTTTGATCTAGAACACTTCCATCAAAATCAATCAAACTGACCTAACCAGTCGTCACTGTCACACGGTAACACTGAGGCCTTCAGTTGACAGACACTCCATTTCTATTTTTGGCTTGAAGTGCAGTCAGTGCTGCTGAAAATAAAGTAGAATACTTTTGCTGTTGCCTCAAGCTCACAGCTGACTCATGGAGTGTACATTGTAGGTGACATGCAGATTTAATACAATGCAGACAGCCAAAAACAGCTGTAGGTTAATTTAATCGAAAATGTAAAGCAGAACATGAGAAATTCTGTAGGGGGAGCAGAAATGACATGATAATATTTAAGTAACTGTACAGTAAAGGGTAAAAAAAAAGTCAACTCTGACATCAATGTACAAGGATGCAACTTGACATTTAAACCACACCTTAACAGAAACAGGAAATAAATGTTTAGGGTAATAAGTAACTGAAATCTTCATGGAAGTAACGTGGGTTCTTGGTAAGTAGTCTGTGTTCAGAAGACACTACAGGTCTGGCTATGTGCATACTAAACAGGTTCATAGGCTCATTACATAATACACAGACAATAATAGTTAATATGGAAACTACTAGTACTATTACTGTTACAGTATTATTATTAACCATACACTGTATACATTAACTATATAGAGCACAAAGGATAAAGTACCAGTTAGGAAATAAGAGGTGTAAAGAGTACCTGAAAACCATACTTGAGTAAAAGTACAGATACCTTACAGCAAAAATGACTCCATTACAAGTTACAAGTCACCAATTCCAAAACAACTCGAGTAAAAGTCTTAGAGTATCTGATTTTCAATCATGTTTATTTTCTAAAACCCAAACAAAAAAAAACACAATATCCTTCAAAGAGGTCTCTTCAGTATAACGGATAAATAAAATAATGTTAAGTAAAATTCAAAACTGGATGTGCTGGTTTTGGTCCATTGCTGGCTGCAGTCATGTCCTCACCTCACACCTGTGATTCACAACTACTTGCTAAGGAACTCACAATTACGTAAAGTAGCCTTATTGACAAGTTTGGGTGAGTAAGGACAAAATGCACAAGATATAGGCCTAGTACTTTCAGTGCCCTATAGTTGGCGATATCACTTCTTCTGTAGCAGAAAAAACTAGGTGCCATGCAAAATTTAATGTTTAACTGCAACACTCAAAAACGAATCTGATGTAGAACAATACCAAAGCCAGACCTTGCAGCAGAGGGACCCACCCAACAACATCAAGCATCCTCCTGATCTCACAGACATTCCACCTGTAAGGAATCTAATCAGGTCACGAGCACAAATGGTGCCGTGGCAACGAGCTGTCTGGCTCGGCTGTCGCTATGGCAACTGTCTCTACTGTCAGCTTCCACTTGGTTGGAGATGGCATATTTTGAGCTAGAGAGCTTAGAGAAAACAACAGAGGAAGCCACCAGTCCCTCAAGGTCAAAACACCAATTCTTTACATCTATATATATTTATATAAATATATACAGTATGTATCTATATCTATATACTAGGGCTGTCAAAAGAAATTCGAATTTCGAATATTCGTCGAATTTACAATAAAAATCCACATTCGAATGCAAAAACGGTGCATTCGAATTTTAGGTGTGCGTCAGGCAGCCTTATCAGTGGCACACGAAATGCGATGACGATGTAAGTGTCATTGCATTTTAATGATTTTCATAGCTTATCCAGTTGAAGCCACTAGATGCGGCGCTTCTGCATTGTTAATTACAAATATTGCAGGAAAAGAGAACATCAATGCGGAGAAGATCTTGTTTACGTCAAAACTGAAACCAAGCCGTTCACACAGAACGCATATTTCATGCATTTTCTAGGACATCTATCACCGTTGCACTCGCATCTTGCACAAAGGAGCCGCATGTTTAAAGGCCATGTAAAATTAATGCAAGTTTAACTTTGAAAAAAACATGTCTCGAGACTTTTATGGTGGGTTTTTTCCCCCATCCCACTGCATCTCATGTTTTTAAATGAAAAATGTATGATTGGCTTTCCGCCCTTTGTACTAAACCATGCATACATACATGATGTTTTGTTTATAGTTGTTTAAGTAACTTAATTAATTATAATTGGTTTATAAACATTATTTTAAACATTATGCACTTTTTTTTCACAGATAGTCATGTTATCTTATGCTTTGAATAAACGTGCATTAGTAATATTTTCCTCTTGTGGCCTCATAAGAGAAGCCAAACGCTTTTCTTCACCCTAACTGAAATTATGCATTTTAAATTCGAATATAATTCGAATTTTGATAATATTTAAGTACAAAATTCGAATTTAGTTTTTCAGCCAATTTGACAGTCCTACTATATACATATACAAAGACATTGTGTTGGATATCATTAAATATTCACAACAAACAATAAATGGACTTTGGCGCATTAGTAATTACTAGCCAAGTCAAGTCACATTTATTTATACAGTATAGCGCTTTATACAATACTGATTGTGTTAAAGCAGCTTTACAGTGTTAAACAGGAAAATAGTTTGTCAATAATGCAAGAAGACAATAACAAAGAGTTATTTTTCAGTGATGTCATCATCCAGTTCACCTTCATATGCATTTCCGCATCAGTTTGCTCATATAACGGCCAGTGTGGGCTATGGCTCCTTTCAGCCAATAAACTACGATTCAAAGGTCAGGAGCATCTTAGCCATAAACAAGATAACATGTCATCCCTGTACATTACACCCATTACAGAAAGCAAAACCACTTCATGCCCAAGCTAAATAAAGTCATCCCCGACATTCTGGAAATGTCTCTCAACTGCTTTAGACTTCATATAGCAATATGAGGACCCACATGGCATGCCACAACCAAACCAGAGGATCACAGCAGTGGATGGATGCTTTCTCCTTTTTACACCCACACACCCACCAAGAGCTAGGCTGTCTGCTGCTTATGTTACCACTTATGCGTCTTCGAAATTAAACTCATGACCTTGTTCCAAGTTCTTTCAAGCTTAGTCAGTTCAGTATTGGTAATGCTTCTAAGCATGTATTTTCTATGTCGGTAAGAGGCATACAAGCACATCTACTTGAACAAAGTATATGTAATAAAGAGATAAAGATTGAAATAACCAAAAGTGTTTACTAAATTATGCCAATAACATATTTCAAATAAGCAATACAATTTTACAACAGTGGCATCATACATTTTTCTTCTTTAGCTTAAGTAACACTAAAATAATGTAATTTTCTGATATATACAGTTAATGCACATTCTAGAGTAAATTAACTACTAAGGCAGACGGTGACCATACTGAGCCTTAATTATTCTCCTATTCATTCATCAACGAGTGATCTGTCTCCTTTCCCTTATAATAGAGACTTTAAGCAACAGCCACTGATGGAACGGCAACGGCATTCTGATGTTGTATTGCGCATGCACGACTTTAACTATTACGGGAGAACAGCTGGTTTGCCGTAGTTGTTACAATGTGACAGATAAGGTAAGTAAATGTTACGTTTCATGGTACACAGCATTGTAATTGCATCAGTATGTGATTCTACCATTAGTCTTTTATTTAATCTGTGTTGATATGTTTTAAAATTAAGCTAATTTTAATGATTATTCCGTTTGTACAAAGATATGTCTGCTGTTAGTAACAACTCAGGTAGCACTGAGACTAGAGATCAGTGGTGTATTGTAACGAAGTAATAATACTTCGTTACAGTACTTAAGTATTTTTTGGGAGTATCTGTACTTTACTTGAGTTTTTATATTTCAGCCAACTTTTACTTTTACTCCACTACATTTCCTAATTAAAATGTATACTTTTACCCCGATACATTTCCCCAAAGCATATTCGTTACTTACTACAAAATAGTCAGAAGTCAGAAGAACACGGACTGCAGGAAAGCAGGTTTGACGAATCAGTGGTCTGGCGCTTGCAAGTTAGACTCCTAAAAACACCTTTGCTCATGTGCAAACAAGTGTGCGCACAACCGCGGATGATTCATTTTCCTCTCAAGTCGAGTCTGGGGTGTGCGATACAGCATCGTCTGCGATAATATGGTAAGTGTTGTAATGATGTGCGATCTGAAATTATCAAGTATATCACAGAGAGTGCACGCACGTGATTTATTAGTCTATTAAAACTCAAAATTCAAGGCATTCTAAATTGTAGACGGCAAAAATGCTTCTGTATGCTCAATGACTCACTCATTAACAGTCACTTGCTGCCACCTACTGGCGGTTTTAATTTCACATTTCGACTATTTTGTTCATGTTTTAAATTATTTCAAATATCAGTAATACTGATTCAGTATTCAACGTTTTATGTTGCACCTGTAAATGCTATTTCAGATGCAGATTCCAGAAATGTTTTCTTATGTTGGAATGAAAGACACCAAGTACCAAATGAAAGAAAGAGTTCAAACTGAACACAACCTTGCTACTCAAGCAGTGTATGAACATTTTTTATATATATTTATTTGCTTCTTTTCCATTTTGCATTTACTTGTACTTTTACTTTCAATACTCAAGTATGTTTAAGATTAAAAAAATACTTTTCGTACTCAAGTACAATAAATATCACATACTTTAAGACTTTTTACTCAAGTAATATTCTAAACGGTGACTTCGACTTCTACCAAAGTCATTTTCTGGTAAGATATCTGTACTTTTACTTGAGTATGGCTTTCAGGTACTTTATACACCACTGCTAGAGATGTTGTGAAGCGAGCAATGGAAGTATTGCCTAAACATTCTCCTCATAAAACTCAATAAATGACTGAATGCTGCGCTGTGCCATCTTGTTTGCGGTTGCTTAGTGATTTTTATGTTCTCGGCTATGGCGGTGTAACAGCTTACTTCCGGTCACCATAGCGTTCCATTCGCAGCTTCTGCCTGTTAAATACAGGATTCTATCAGTCCTAAATATAGGACATATGATGCATTCACATTTACACATACTGGTAAAAAATGTATAGCCTGAATGCACTGTAAGTCGCTTTGGATAAAAGCGTCTGCTAAATGCATACATTTGTTTTTAATTATTATTAATTATTAAATTATTTACACTATGTCAGAATTATCAATATTATTACCTAATTAAGAGGACAACTCACAGCAAATCAGAGAGCTGTAACTTGTATAAAGCATTCATGTGCTCACAGAACTTGTAATTACTTTATAGCAAGCTTAGTTACAGTAATTCTGACATGGCATAAATGCACCAATACCAATAGTGACAGATAACACCAGTTTTCAGTGTCACATTATCCTTCAGAAATCATTCTGATAATCCGATTTAAAAAAATAAAATAAAATAAAAAATAAATCAATCTTATTATTATCAGTTTTGAAAACAGTTGGTGCTGCTAAATAGTTTTGTGAAAACATTGATACAGTTTTCAGAATTCTTTGATGAATAGAAAGTTCAAAAAGAGCAGCATTTATATACTTTACAAACCAAAACTTTGTTGATTATAAGATCATCTGAATTAAGATATTACAAAAGGTATGATTTTTTTCAACAAAACGTTAAAACCAAACATTCAGAGCAATAACAAAACAAATAAATCAACGATAGATATATAGAACCCTGCAGAAGAGTTTGATGAGCACGCCCTGATGACGTAAATTAATTTTACATCATGAAGCCAAGCAGAGAAACCTCCCTGTGAAGGTATGTCGTAATACACATAGATCAGCAAACCTCAATTATAAGGCTGAGGCTTTAGATGAGGAAGCCTTGAACTACACTACAGTTTTAGACAATGAGTCAGCAACATCCATCAACTTACAGCTCCACTTAGAAGGACAAAGAGAGAGAGAAACATGAGATTACGTGAGATTGAAGAGAAGAAACATGAGAGAGGAGAGAAAGGCCATCACAAAGTGTGTGTTTGTGTGTCTTACTTCACAAGTATTATAGTCCTCTGAGTCCAGAAGTAAACAAAGTTTAGGTAGAAGCTCCGGCCAGTTCTGTAACTCCCCTTTAGACGCTATAGTCGTGATCAGAATACCTGAGGAACACAAACATATGCACAATAATGCACCATTCAGACCAGCCTATACTGCAGTTCACATAACCAACTGCCAGAAGCAAACATCTACACAAAAACCAAGCTGTTATGCAAATCTGATAACAAAACATTATAATATGTGAACAAATTATACTCAGTTTTTCACTATATTAATCACTGTGTGGGAAAATACTCATAAAACACTACAAAAAATTTTTTTTTTTAAACCAAATAAACAAAAAGAGGAGGAATGATATTTCATGCTGTTGATGCTGGGTAACCATAGAAACACAGCACTGCATTCCTCATAACAGTCTAATCACAATCACAGAAGGCTAATTTAGGCACACTGTGTATTCTCGGACATAAGAGTCAATAAATGATCTTACATTGAAAGCAACAACACAAAGCCAGACACAGCCCCCAAAAGCATAATATTGTTTGTCATGATGGCACTAGCTGGGAGCTCAGAGTCACACAGTAAATGCGTTGTCGGTCCATACTCACCCACTGTGGCTCTAATGAGCGGTGAGGAGTCTCCAATGTTCTGCAGACACTCATTTTTGATGAAGTCAGACACGCCGTTTGGGAAGTTCTGGTAATGGGCCTTAACGTTGTTCTTCAAAATGAGACCACTGAGAGACCGAGTGGGTTCATCTATGATAAAGAAAGGATGAAAAGCTTTACTTTCAGACTGGGTAGAAAATACAGCCCTGGGCACAAGACACAGCATTTAAGGGAAAAAAAAGAAAGAATCAAACAACCACAGGGATAAACAGAAATATCTGTTCATACTACAAGAATATAATTACAATCAGATTACAAATACAAAACTATTTAAAACTTAAATATGATAAAAATATAATGTAATATACCAATAATTTTGTCAATTACAAAAAAAACGTTGCTTTAGAAAGTGCTTGAAAATAAAATAAAAATTATATATA